AAACACTTAAATGCAATCGAGCCGTTTTACTGTCTTTCCTTTCTCTAACTAAATTTTTAAACTCTATCCATTAAAAGATTAATAAGTTTCTGGGCCGTGAAGGTAGAAATTCGCCCTTACAAAGAAGGAACCCAAGCATTTCCCGGCGAAAACTCTATCCCGTTTTAGTCGCGTCGGCTTTATACCGGGGTTTTTGGTTAATTTAGTGGAAAGCGTCACTTAACTTGTCCCGAAATGCAGTCGAAACGGTATTGATTGAAAGCTTCTCTTGCTTTTACTCTTTTGCCTAACAACCCTTCCCCCAATCAAAAATTAGCACGCGTCTGCCATTTCCAACGAGGGAGAGACAAGGAAAAAAACCATTGGTAAATTCCACTAACCTTTTGATCTTGCCGCTACTTACTCTCTCCATTTTCTAGCAGTTAATTAATAAAAGAGACGAGGTTTTAATACGCGTGGTAATTAAACGGATGCATTCCATTCATCAAACACCCATTAATTTGTCGTTATTTGCCGACATTCTTTTTACTTCTCTCTTCCCGATTCGCCCCTTCCAACTTTTACTCGTATTATCTTTGCTGCTTCAATTGTTATCACTCTATAAATTATGTTGTTGCCTTTAGATAATTAGTTTGTTTTCGCATTATCCACTAACTCATCTCTAAAATTTAAACAATTAGCTATAAGAACTCTTATCTAAAATGGAAAATTACGTCTTGCATTAAACCCGACTCCTTACGCTCTCAAAAATGCAAGCGTTTTGTCTTCGTTTTCAACTTCTCCCTTTTTCCACGTCAAATCAAGATTTATATGTTTAACTCGATTACCTTTTACAATTTAATTATTTTCGGTTTCGAATGTGTTAACAATAAGAACTAATATTGAATCAACCCATTTAAATTTTTTTCCTATCTCTTAAAAGTCTTTCTTCGCTCTCGGCACGAAAAACGCAACGTAATTAATAATCGAGCTTTCGTTTTTTCTTTAAAAAATTCTCGAATAAGAATGGAAAAATCTCGATGACGTATGCGAAGGAAGCAGAAAATTCCGATCCTCGCAATTGTTAGTTCTTTCTTTTTTTCCCCACATAAAATTGGCTATTATCTAGATTCCGAGCTAGGATTTGCCAATGTAGGTAACAGGATTATGAGGAGAAGGCAGCTTAGCTGCCTGCTTCGGGGTATATAACAAACACTTTGGTGGTTTTCTATACGATCGACTATATTTCAAATGTTTTGAGAGAGTTTCAACCCACTTTCGGGTTAAAAACTAAAATATTATGATTTTATATACATAAAGAGTAACCGATCATAAATATTATTCAATGGGCCAAGCGTGTTGTCAATTTGTACACTTATACACTTTACGATATAAACTGTATATTAATCGACTTCGGCGTGCACAGTACACGAATGATTAATTTTGTACACAATGTAATAAATGCATTAATATCTATTGTGGAATGTGTAACGATACTTTCTAATTTTTAGTTTTTCTTCGCCTTTTTTTCTAAATATGCGTTGAAAGTTTGCGAAATGAACGAAGAAAAACACCAAAACACTGTATTTAAACACGCATTATACGTTTACAGAAGATGCTTTACATATTTTACAGTGAAAATTAAGTATCAGAAATATCAAATATAAACTTATTAAAGTCAATGATTATAAAATAGTCGACTTTTATAAAAAAAAATAAGTAGATAAATCACGTTTACTCAACGAGAATTTTAAAAGATGTAAACTCACTGTACAGTATTGTTGGCTGTATACTTAGAATTTTCGTTTCGTAGAAGTTTATGCTGTGTTATGACGGTTGGAAGTCTCAATTTATAGGAAAAAATAAATCTATGAATATATCAAGGCCTACTAAATCAACCAACTTGCTAATTTAGATTAAGAATTTTCACAGACTCTTCGAAAATAATCGAAATACCTTGTAGAATGTAAGTATCGAATTTAAAAATAATTATTAAAAAACAAGAATTCAAAATTTAGTGTTTAATAGAAAATAATTTATATTATTACAATAATAATTGCGAATTTCAAATCTTTTGGTTCTGATATTAATAATTTCTTAAGATCCTACTTATAAAATACAGATATTCTAATAAAAACATTTTTTTCCATTAATAAAATTAATTTTCGAGTATTAAAATATTAAAATGTTTTATTCTATTACAAAATGTAACTTTTTTAATATATTTACCTTCATCTCTCTCACTTGTTAGTAACGTTTTTTGTAATTTTCGTCAGATCTGCAAAACTAAGAGCAAAACTTAAGCAAATTTACTGGGGAAAAAAGGACTAAAAAACAAAAACTGAATAGACAATGCAATAAATTTAGTTTGAATGTCCACTAATTTATTGATTTAATCTCTGGTAATGATTTTATAAAGTTTTAAAAATAACTGAATAAAAAATAAATTTACTAATTTTTTCGACTATAATTTTAAAAATAAACCGAAATTACATTGAAAACACTATGGAGTAATGCCCAATTTTGGTTTCTTGAACTCAGCAGTTCGATCTTTTCAATTATGTGGCGTCAAGTTCCAAATATTTTCATGAAATCAAATTCGTCGAGTGAGTTTTTAAAAATGTTCCTTGTTAATATTTTAATTTGTTTAATTAGGAAATTATAAATGTTTCTGAAAGCACGATGACAGTTGATAGAACAGTTCATTAATTATCATCTACATTTTCAAACTTCTTTCCTATTGTCAGTTGCGTAGCGTAGTGGGGGAGGCACTTTTTAGGGGGCGGCAAAATTTTACAATAAATAATAATAATATCTTGTAAAAATTTGAACCATTTTATCCCACAGTCTCGTCGTACCTACGATTCGGACCGATTGAAATGAGCATGGAATAGTCCGGGAATAGACTCACCGTCCAATTGAACTGTTAATTTTAGACGTTCACCGCACACCCTGTCGACCTTTTTTTTTTTTTTTGTTTTTGCTTGTACGATTCATTTGTTTTCATATACACTTCCAATATTCAATGGAGCTATTTTAGACAGCTGGCTACCCTGGCAAGGAAATTTTCATTTACTTGTTCTTTTGTTACGAAACTGAATTTTAATCTTTTAAATTGAGATACCTAAATAACGGGACGGCGAAATTTTCCTCCGCTCCGGGCGGCTGACATCCACGCTACTCCGCTGCCTATTGTACTGTACAATAAACAATTATATAGTATGCAATATTAACTTCAGATTCTATGTATAATTTTCGATATTTTCCCATTGATATTGTTGAAGTTTTTCCTGTAATTAGTATTTAATAATATTTTAATTTTTTGTCTTTTATAATTACAAAATTTATATATAGGCTACTCTCTCTCTCGCATCTTTCTCTCGTCTCTTTCCGGATAAGGTAATGCTATTTTATAATAATATAGGCTATTTTAAGTGCCACTAACTTATATGTATACACATCGCTGTATGTTAGTAAATAAATTAAATTATCAGGAACCCGAACCTTATAATTGGAGCACGAGACTAAACACAATGATTGTAGAATATAGTTCTCTCTACAAATCTATTCTCGACTTCCAGAAGAACGAACCGTAATCTAATTTTTATTAAATAAAATTCGTGAATCGTTCTGAATCAAGTCTCAATTACCTTACTGTTTAAGCTATAAATAAATACTGTAATAAGGAAAATGAAAGTGATTTCGTCCTCGACACTTTATTAGTAGATTACTTGCTTCTTTTAATCGATCAGTTCGATTTTTTTCTAGTTTGACAATGAACTGGTACCGAAAAAAAACTAAATTTTCCGAGTTCTTTAAATAGTCATAAATTAGATAAATGTCATTAAATTGATACGAGAGTGAATGGCTTAGCTTTAAGGAGTGGGTCGTCGGACCATCCCGAGTCTACCTTTTGAAATCTGAATAAAATTGTAAGTAAGCTTTGGGTTAATGCAAAGTTTTTATCGGAGGCAGAACTTTGTATTTTCCATTAGAAGTACTTAGAAGTTAAGAAAAAGCAAACGGTTTTTTACTTACCCTGATTGGCTTACTCGCTTTACTTCTCTCACCTATTCGCCAAGTTCCGTCCAAGAAACAGCCAATAGTAGGGTCGTGTTTCGGCTCGTGCAATCACGTCATCGACGAGAAGAAAGAAGTAAAGAAAGGACCATCTGGTTAATGGAATCCTGATGTTTTATTCCGGCAATTCGTTCATTAAGTTAGGTTTATACCGAGACTGCCTTACTTAGATCTTAAGAGTATAACTTAGATCCTGCCTCGCACTCTCTTTTTCATCCGTTCTCTTTTGTTCCTTCCTATCGTTTGGAAATGTTGAGTAATTATAGTCGGGCTGGGAAATGCCTTTACTGCCAAATGATACATAGACGATAACTAAATCGAATGATTTTTCGCCCTGGGCACCTCGTTGTAAGTCGAAGATACAGAAAAAGTCGTTACGTCATATTTTATAAATTATATTTATTTTGTTTAAAACAATAAACAGTAAAATGCTCTTTTTAATCTACCAAATATGCGGCTAAACGATTTTACTCAATTAAATTAAATCTGCAGAGTTTTACGGAAAAACTCTCATTTATTTTACTTTATCCCACTCTAAAAATTTGAAAAACAAAACTTTTTTCATATTTTAAAAATAAATGCAAGTTACTTTTTGGTTCCATTAAGACTCTATAATCAATTTAAGTAGGAATTTGTCTCGGTTAATGTCTTTAAAAATATATTAAAGAAATCAAAATTTAATTTTACTATTTTTGAATGTTAATATTTGTAACGACGTGGAAATATCACCGAAATTACATTTTTAATCGAAATTTACTTTGTCTAATTTCCGGTACGCGCTTCTCTTATCGTTAGTAAAGGGCGAGTTAAGAAGCGATTTTGTGCACATTTAAAAAAAAATAGAAAGAAAAAAATAACGTTTAAAACAAAGTCTAAGATTGTTTTTTTTTAATTTAATTTTTATTGTTTCAATTTAAATATTCACAAACATAAAATTCTGTAACCGAAAAATAGGTTAAGTCGTGCAGATTCGAGCCATATCTACTTTCCGGCTACACTTTTTTTTCTGTTTTTTGACCGATCAGCTTGGATTTTTTATATGGCATAATGTAAAAGTCTACGTATTCGAGTGTGTTCCGAACAGAAGATAATCTACGCTTTTTTAAATATATTTTTTTTTATATCCAAAAAGATTGGTGCCAGCTCTCTAGTTTATGTCTAGTTGTTTGATCCATAAAAATAACTTCTCCACAAACTTTTGGAATACAACTTTATAGACGTCATCTGCTGCAAAAGTCGTAGGATGAATAACGAAAACAGGGATGAAAAACAGCGTCTCATAGAGTGCATCTACGAAATTTTCGGCCTGGTATTCCCGATATTGAGAAAATTATTTTATTTATTTATTTATTTTCTTTCTTATTTTTTGGCGAGGTGGCGTTCGTTAATAGTTTCTCAGCCAAAACTCGGGGTGCACTTTGAAACCTCGAAGACGATAGACTAGAGTCCCAGAGCGGCGGTATGTTTCTGAGCCTTGAGTCGAAGATCTGCTATGCTGGAGTTTTTATTGTTGAGTCGTTCCGCTGCCATCAGGGCAGACAGGCTGAAGGGGTGGGTGGGAGTAGGATAAAACAAGAAACTGGTGTGTGGATGGGGTGCGTGTGCGGCGGCCGCTGCGGCCGCGGCCGAATAGTGCTGGGCCGCTGCCAAAAAGGCCGGATCGGCGTAAGGCAAGTAATGGGTGGTGGGCACCAGATAGCGATCCTGCGGAAGTCGGGCCACGGCACTGCTGACGTTGATGTAAGGTGCGATGCGAGAAGACTCGATCGGGGTGCTGGCCGCCATCATCAGGTCTGAAAAAAAAAAGAAAAACAAACGGATCGATCGGATCAATAGCATTCGTGCCGCTCGACATCGATCAAGCATCAAGCGCGGGATCTAAATTAAGGAGCAAAACTTAATTTCCGCTTTTATTTGGTAATTTTTCATCGATATGAAGTGCCATCTGGTGGCAGTCTAGCAGAGGCTCCAGCAACGGGATTGACAGCGGCGGGGATGCCGTTGTTAACGCAATTGATAGGGTGATGGATACAATGAAGATGAATGAGTGCAGTGTCCCTATCCGAGACACTTAAGACCGTTTCTGGGCTCTGTAAACAACCGCACACTCCTTCTGAAGTCGATATTTGCTGTAATCGCTTAACAATCCACGTGATTAACTTTTTCCTTCCGTAAAATACTTAAATGGATATACCACTACTACCAAAATTTTAGATAATTTAATCGTTTTTAAAAGCTGAGAGAATTTTGTAACTTTATTATCTAAAGCAATTCGATTAATATCGAGCCGCACGGAAACGGCGTTTGAATTACTTCCAAAGATGAAATAACCTTACGAAATATTTTAAATTTTGTTAAAAGTTCAAATTTCTCTTGTATTTTCCTTTCTCCTCTTTCTAATTTTTATTCTCCAATCGGTTTTGGAAGAAGCAGCAGGTTTAAACAACGACTTGGTAAATTACTCCATTTTAATATATTCGATGTAACGTCGCGGTTTAATTGATGTATACTTTCGATTTAAATACAGTTTTATGGGCGTTTCGGTGACGCTTCTCATAAATCTCTAACGCTAAATCGAGAGACAGACGAAGCAAATCGGTATGCATAAGTTGGGATTCGTTACAATTGTGTAAAGTAACAATTTAAAATTATATCACTTATAACCGGAGGGTCCGAATTCAAGCCTCTTTCGGAGAGCTCTAGGCCTTTTTTGTTTAGTACAACCTTCTCGTTTGCCGCCTTACTTATTTAATAAATATTATAAAATTCGAGGCGAACGAATTCTATAATTTAGTTAAATTGTTCGTGCTTTTTAGATGGTATCTAAATGGGATAAGATATAAGCTTAATAAAGGTGTCTAGAGATAAGATAGACCTCAAAATGCCTATTAACTTATATTTTAAATATCATAAAAATTTATTTAATTAATTTAAATTTGAAAGATAATTTTATACTTAAAATGTTGCATAATGCATAATAGAACAATTAATATAAGTTTAGGAATACTTTTCAGCCATCGGGACGAGATAATAAATTCGTGCATTTTTATAATTCTCAGGTCAGCATTTAATATAAATTTATATTAAACAATATAAAACAGTTTCATTTTTTAATAATGATTTAAAAGTTATTAAATTACAACATTTTAAACTGAAATATTTCCACTTTTAATTCTTAGGCCTGCCTATTAGAAGAGGATTTAAATTGCTGTTGTTTCAAGTGTTTCTTAACATATTTTATCACTTTTTATGTTACAAAAACTTAATTTAGAATAATTTTTGAGCCAATTTTACATTCTCTATTCCGAAATAAACAATAAAATAGATGTAAAAAAATAAAAATAACAATTTTTTTTCTTTGATTTTAAGCACTTTCGTTATATTAGGTAAGTTTATAATGGAACTAGCCAAATGATTTTTATAGCCTACTCTTTTTTCTTCTTCGACAAGAATTAAACACTTATCTTAACTGTAGCTGAAGTGTTATTAATTATAACTGGATCATCGACAGAATGGGCCAAATCCATTATTTCAAAAAAAAAAAAAATATATTGAAACAGAGTCTATTTGGAAATAAAACTTAGCAACTTTTTTATCTTTATTTTTTTTTCCTGATAAGAACAACTCGTAACACCGATCTGGGCGGAGGGCTCGACATTTGTCATCAGCTAAATGGAGAGAGACAAAATGTCTTGGGTCTAAATCATGCCGTGTCAAATGGAACTTGAAAAATTAGGCGTTTCATTCGTCTATCGAATGTAGAGAGAAAAAAATGACAGAGGACAAAAACGTCATATGTACGCTCATTTCCCATTACCGTCGCGAAGAGAACGAAGGGGGGGAAAGAAAAAAAGGCTCGAGTCTCAATTGCTCTTTAATTTACATAAGTGACATGCATTAAAGAAAAGGACTTAAAAATTTTATCGATAATCCGAACCCTAGCGGAAAAACTAAGTACTAAAAGTTGTAAAGAAAAAATAGTCCGTAAAAAAAATGCAACTTACTTTTTTGCATCTGGCTTTCGTGCTTCCGACATTTTGCTCTTCTGTTTTGAAACCATACCTAATGGAAAGAAAAGAAGAAAAGAAGATTTGAAAAAATGACAATCTCTTCTCTATTTTTTCTCTATATTAGGAAACTTTAAAAAATTATCTATGTCTTATTTACTCAAAAATGGTAACCTTTCCATTATCCGTCAAAAGGCGGTAATGTTTAAATATCTAATTAATGAAATGTAAGCTAGGCTTTAAAGAAAAATGTAGCCTACTACAAATTTCTTGTTAATCAATGGTTAAGGTAAGTTTAATGTTTCTTAATAGAAACAAAACTATTTCGTTTTTCTTTTTTCTAACGTTTAAATTGATCATAAATAATTCGAAATGAACATATTGTTAAATTTATATTAAAAGTCCTTTTCAAAGTTTAGTTTAGACTGAGAAAAACTCGAAAGAGACGGGCGACTAATTAAGATAAAGGCCTTTAACGTCGGTAATTATACGAAGTTCGATGGACGTTCAATCTTATCCGACGATAATTAGCTTCGGCTATGCATTAAAATGACAGAACTTTCAATTTGGGATATTTAAATTTCAAATTGCANAGGGATGAAAAACAGCGTCTCATAGAGTGCATCTACGAAATTTTCGGCCTGGTATTCCCGATATTGAGAAAATTATTTTATTTATTTATTTATTTATTTTCTTTCTTATTCCAAATATTTATGCTTATGAATAAGTAATCAATAATTTTTTTTTTTTTTTTTTACATTTTCTTTAGAATGTGTCATTTTAGGCCACGTTCCCCTCTATATATAATTTTAATGTGAAATAACTTACTGTTGTATTGTATATTAGAATAGAGAAATTCAGTGGACTCAATGTGGATCGAAACACGATAATTTGGAATCTAAAGTAAATTCGAAACACATGTTTATATGTATATATAGGCCTATATATAATTTGAAGATCAATAAATGATTATTATGGGTGTTTCGTATCCCGATTTGACATTCTAAAACAAGCTAAAGTTCATTTTATCCGAACTTGATGGTTAATTAAATTCCAGTATTAATATTTGACTTCGACAATACAGAAATCCTTTAAAACATATTACAATATGTACTATATTATATATATAAACCACTCAGCAATTTAATATTCATCTTGTTTTGTGAGTGAAGGAAGTACACGTTGTACTGTACGTCAAATTAACGAGGACGTTATGTATGACGTTTCTAAATGAAATAAGAAATTATACTATAATTGCAATTATTACGGCGATTAACTTACATCACAAACACAATACACAATATAAAATGCAAAATTTTGAACCTTTTACTTTTTGATTCTGTATAAATGTGATATTTTCGATTGATGTAGGGAATTAAAAAAATATATATACATTAATTAACAATTTAAATCTATCTAGCTTCGGCTATGCATTAAAATGACAGAACTTTCAATTTGGGACATTTAAATTTCAAATTGCAAGTTCTGTACGCCATTATTCTATAATGTGTCTTCGTTACCAAATGGAGATGGCATATACGTGCTTATGTCTCCATAAAGTTACCAACGAATGTAGATAATGGTCTTTAATAGGAAGAATAATTAAAACATCTTTGCTTAATTAGAATCAGTTTCCATAAAAAGCCGTTCATTAGTTGCGGGAATTTTCTAATCTCGAATCAGTGCCGAGAGAAAACGAATACAACTCATAAATAGCAAAGTGGAGGAAGTCATGGTGATTCTTATCACGTTGAGAATTCTTCTCCCCCCTTCTTCGTTATCAAGATGCGCTTTACTAAAGGAAATCTGCCATTTTTTTGGGTTAATGATGATATGAGTCGTGATAAATTATCTAGGATTACTCGATAATTTCCGAATGAATCTCACCGAACGACCATAATTTCTACTTGGAAAAACTGGTCGTTACCGGTTAATGAAGTGGTAGAATGATTTAACGAGGTATAAAAAATGCAAAATTTATGACAATTCATTAGAATAATTTATGGATTTGCCAATAAATTTAACTTAATAAACACTGGGTAATATATTCTATGAAATGCGTAATAGTAAACGAACGTCTGGTTTTATCACAAATTTAGGCTGTTCGACTTTAATAAATTATAGGCATACCTGCGAGTTGATTGGCGTATTAACTTATTCAACGAATTAATGAGAAGAACCGAATTTTGTGATTAAGCAGAGAATAGTTGAAGGTACTGTACTGTACGCATGAACAGAATTTGTATAAAGAATATATCAAAAATTAGCTGAGACGTAGGACTATTAATTTGAGATCTACTTTCAAATCAGGACTATCTTGTATATAAAGCTTCTGTTTTTTTTTTTTTTTTTTTAATTTGATAGAACGCCATTAGAATTTTCTATACACGGTGTGGATAAATAATATTTGCAATCCTAATTCATTTTTTAATCTATTAGTTTTGTTATTTAGTCATATATTTAGTTATTGTGCCGTTATATTTATTATATACTCGTAGGCATATATCTTAAATATTGTGTGTGCGCGTGTTTACAGGGGAAAACCTGGCCTAAAATGCAATACTGGGGTAAAACGGGTTACATTTGAAAAACCCTATAAAATATGTTTGAATTTATCACTATACTATTGGATATGTAAGACTTAATTTTTAAATTATTGAAACGTAATTCTTTCAAATATAAGTAATCTTTATGAATAACAACAAACTATCCCACTATCTCTGCAGATTATGTTATATTATTATTATTCATTGAAGATAAAATGAGATAGCTGCTTCATTCAATCTTCAAGTTACAAGCTATTTTATGTAATGATACCAAGTAATTGTGACTTTTAGGTGTCTTAATAATTAGATACTTTCGATTATGGTGGGAAAATACGAGAGACGGACATGGAACGAAATACAGTGGTTCTGAATCTGGAGAAACATGGCTTAAATGTAAGAAATGTTCTTTGTGGAATCATGATAAATGTGCAGGCCTCACCAAAAAAAAATCAATTTTATATGAGATTTATGCAAAAAAAAATGATTTAGGTGTATTATTTTAACCTAGAAACTATGGTAAAATAAAACAATATTGTTATTTTTGAAATACCTGTAACTTAAAAACAATCTGAAATTTTCAGTTCTTGTTATTAGATACATAGCTTTAATTGCCTTAAAGATCGCCTTAAATCAAAGCCAAATCTGTATATATAAATAGATTTAGATTTGGCTTTGATTTAAGGCGATATATATATACACCTGTTGTTATTAGCATTATTATTTGTATTATTCAGTGCAATATTAAATATCAATAAATCATTAAGCCTCTTACCTAAGAAAATAATTTTGTTTTTTTTTTTACATTTTCTTTAGAATGTGTCATTTTAGGCCACGTTCCCCTCTATATATAATTTTAATGTGAAATAACTTACTGTTGTATTGTATATTAGAATAGAGAAATTCAGTGGACTCAATGTGGATCGAAACACGATAATTTGGAATCTAAAGTAAATTCGAAACACATGTTTATATGTATATATAGGCCTATATATAATTTGAAGATCAATAAATGATTATTATGGGTGTTTCGTATCCCGATTTGACATTCTAAAACAAGCTAAAGTTCATTTTATCCGAACTTGATGGTTAATTAAATTCCAGTATTAATATTTGACTTCGACAATACAGAAATCCTTTAAAACATATTACAATATGTACTATATTATATATATAAACCACTCAGCAATTTAATATTCATCTTGTTTTGTGAGTGAAGGAAGTACACGTTGTACTGTACGTCAAATTAACGAGGACGTTATGTATGACGTTTCTAAATGAAATAAGAAATTATACTATAATTGCAATTATTACGGCGATTAACTTACATCACAAACACAATACACAATATAAAATGCAAAATTTTGAACCTTTTACTTTTTGATTCTGTATAAATGTGATATTTTCGATTGATGTAGGGAATTAAAAAAATATATATACATTAATTAACAATTTAAATCTATCGTAAATAATTTGTTTTCCTCAGTTTTAAGTTTACTTTTCATTCTTCCTTCCATGTTTATATACTTAATAATTTTATATTGCTTTTATATGTTTATCGTTTACGTAATGTAAACGATAAACATATAAAAGAGTCACCTTATAGAAAAATAAGCCAGAATTTAATTACATTTTATAAAGGATTTGTTTTAGTTAAATTTAATAGCCTTTATTCTGACTGAAAATAATAATAATTTTTAAATATTAAGTTATTAAAACGAAATAAATAAATCTATTCTAAATCTAATTCTTGTAAGTTAGATCTATTAAATAAAAAGGAATTTATTCAAACTAACTGAAACCATCTTATATTTTTAGTTAAAGCGATCAGCAAACTAATCCCATTAGGACACATCCTTAAGCTGTTTTGTTTAATTTTAGAAAGGAAAAGGTCTCAAAATGAGAAAATCCCGAAAGGACACTTCATTTCTTATTCCTAATCTTTTAACCTTATAATATTAAAAGAGGAATAAGAGAAAGCAATTAATTAAAAATGTTATTAATCACCAAGAAAATAAATTAAGACAATGGAAAAAGAATGTTGGAAATCCTCTCTAAATCCTTAAGAGAAAGAAAAGAAGCTTCTAGTCAAGCTGAAAGCTAATTCTTTAATGAATATTGCTAAAACAAAGAACTGATTGAATTCGCAATTCTTGCTTCGGATCTTGTTCATCCCGGTTTTGTTTAATTAAAAATAATTTGGCAGAGGAGACAATTAATTTAATTTTCTTACTCATTTTTTATTTCGAGGAAATTCTTATGTTAAAGAGTTTGATGAGCAGATTGAGGAATAAAGATGAAACTTTTTGTTTCCGTTCGATTCTAAGAGAATAGTTTCGGAAAATCTCTGCAAAATTCATTTCACTACTTTTAGATATCCTACCATAAAATCGGTAGCTATCCTACGCATTCACATATCCTACTATACTTTTTACATGTCCTTTATTTTTATTTAATGAAGACGTTCGGAAGATAACTTCGTTTTGATTAGTAGCTATATAATGTCAAAGTT